AGCACCATCGATTTAAACAATAAAAAGCAGCTGACATACTAAAATCATTCTCACCTTAGCAGGCACACTCACTCAACCGACAATACACCTACACATTTGCCATCATTTCGTATCAAATTATCTCAACGCCGATAGCAACACTTCATCCTCAACCATCTCCAAATCATCATATTAATAGACATTGACCTAATCTCACAACCAAGTACACCTCGTTTTCACTGTTGTAAGCTATGCCGTTGAGAAGTGGTGATATCACTACTTCATTGAGTTCACCTTGAGTAACCTTGTTGGGCAATCATACCGAATAGTGCGATGAACTCCAGTGAAACCACAAGCTCACCTCTCGTGCACTTGACTGCCCTTTTGTGAATTATAACACTCACACCTGCATCGAGTGGAACCCACCTGTGCAGAACCCATCGTTGTAAATATTACCTCACCAGGCAACCTATCAACTGCCATATTCCCAACAATTCTATATTAAAATAAATCAACTTTCCCAAGAGGAAAGACTTGCTTTTTACCAGCACATTTTTCACCTTCCTGGGAACTCCGTAGTAAATAGTTCCACAAAGTGGGCAAGTGAGTATTTGTAAAAGATAAAGATATCGTTGGAGAATGTTATCTTTTACAACTTTTGCCACCGAATGAAGACATCTCAATATCGTTCTTTGAAAATCATATTTGGCTTTGATTTATCAGGATTAACTGGTGGTGTTAACGATTCAACTACCTTTTGTACTTTCTTTTAATCGATTACCTTTTCCCTACAGATCTCTATGTTGACCGCAAGGCCACAATTAAGAAAATGGTTGTAGAAGACGCAAGAGAGTTTTTTACTTTAAAAAAGTGCTTAAACTCTTTTGATATTGCGATATTTGAAAAATGTATTAATTTTCCTAAATTTAAAAAAAGCTTTCAGTTTGACACTTTCTGAGTTGTTACCATATACATTGAGGCGAATTGGTGTTAGTTTGACTCAGTTCAATTAATTCAACGAGTGGAAATACCTTTTCATGAAAACAAACTTTTCAAGTGATTGGAGAAAATTTCAAAAACCGTTTTACTTGAGAGCTATCTCAGTAATAAGAATTTAGATTTCATCCAGATAGAGGAGGTGAGGTTGCAATTTGGAGTATTGAAGATATGTTTATTTATTTCAAATGGCTGGCTTTATGATAATTATCATTAGCCCTTTAGCTGACTGCAAACTTCACAGAGGGGAGGAACATCAAAGTGAGAAAAATTCAAGAGGGGGAACAGAAAAGTGATTCAAGGATGCAAAAGAGATAGACAGAACACAAAAGTAGAGAAAAGGTAAGGTGAGAATTAGCCGGCAGTTGACTTCAAACTACCATGACCCCGCGGTATGTCATATTCTTCCACTTTCACTATAGAATTTTTTGCCGTATGAATATACGTTGCCCAGGGTGCACCACGTGGAGGTAAGTCTATCGCACACCCCATATTGAAGATATTGTGACCACTAACTTCACAGAGGCTTCTGAAATATTGACCATATATGGCGCTTTGACTTTATTCAATTCTGCAAACTCTTGATTACCATTTCACGCGACTCCTCATTTTGTGGAATCCATTTCTACTCGATTCAATTCACATTGTCAAGTTTTTATAACCAGCCTTATCTATAATTTTTCTTTATATTCTAATATGA